ACTGCTGCTACACAAATAGCATATAAAATAACCCCGTAGCAGATCTATACAGGTGGAGCTGGGGAAGGTGGAGGGTTTCAGAGAACTCTGAAAGCGCGCTGCAGGAATCTCAAGTGAATGCTAACCAGCCATATAAATGCAAGGCAGTAAGCTCATTGGCTGCATATGCAGCATGAACCAATCAGCTTGTGCCAAGTCATTTAACTCTCTGAATGTCATCAGTTACGTTAACACCCCGTCAGAATGCACCATCTAGAGTTTCATGACTGAACTATATATTTATGTTATTCTGTGTTTATAATTGCTATCTTTCTTAGTACTGACGCTTCTGGCACCAATGCCAGAAGCTGATTCTGATTAACTGAAAGGAAAATGACCTATTAAAACAAAAAGAAAAACAATTTGTTTCTTGATGCAAAACTTCAACAACTTAAAATCCATCTGGACTGTATAAATAAGATCACAGAATATACAAACAAGAAACTATGTCACAGCGAGGATAAATGCCTTTGTATGCATATGAAAATACTATAATACTATAATTTGCTGACGGTTTCAGCTGCTTTAAATTACTGAATCTCCTGCAAGGAACAAAAGTGGCTCAGCATCACTGTAATCCCACTGAAGCTCGACCGCAGACATACCTGCGGTAAATGAAATCTAAAAACAGCTACCTTGATATGTTTTTTCCTGATCAAGACAACTGAGTTCCCAGTAACAGTAACTAATGAGTGCAGGAGGAAGCGCAGGTAGATGAGCTAGTTTACAGTTTCATGCCTCTTGTATCGTGTAACAAAAATAATTTCAACTCAGATCAATATTTTTTGTCTTTAATAAGTCTTGAAATAAGAAGGACAGTGAGACTGTAATTACAGCAAAATAATTGTCAGTTTATTTTGTGATGCTATATATAAGGTGCTGTGATTTTACAATCAAAATGTATTTATTTATTTTGACATATTAATCTTGTCAGTGTCAAAAGTGGTAGCAAACGTTGTTAAACGTAAGCCCAGCCATCAAAGAATGATTAACTATACACATGGTAACACCACAGAAAACTAGACAGAAAGAGAAAAAATTACGACATATTTGGATAATTAGATCTTGTATGTTGTGAAATAGCTTTTTAATTTCAATATTTAGAGTTTTGAGTGCTAATGGTGGAATTTCTTCCTACTTTTGATAACGTTTAACACAATTCTGTATAGTATTGTAGCTTTAGCAAAGTTATGTATCTTTCAAAGGCAAATGATTTGCATAAAACTTAAGCATCTTAACACCACCTGGTGGTGAAATCGTGCAAATAGCCACAAAAAGATACTACTGAAGTCATTGTTGTTCTGAAATGTTTTACTTTACGTAAGCAAAAGATTTTCAATATCCTTGAAAATGAGAAATGATTGAGATATTTCACTACATTCAGGCGCAGTACTATAAAGGCAGATTTTGAATTGTAGAACTGTGTTCTTAGAATGCACTTTTCTCAAAGGAATAGTTAACAAAAAAATGAAAATTTGCTTAACATTCAATCACCCAAAGGTCATTCAAGATGTAGATGAGTTTGTTTCTTCATGGGAACAGATTAGGTGAAATTTAGCATTACTTGTATTTAGGCCAGAAGCAATGGTTTAAAGTTAAAACGCCTTAATGGTGGATTTGTTTCTCACAAAGACGCAGCTTTTCACTTCACAATACGTTAACTGATGGACTGGAGTGGTGTGGATTACTTGTGGATTATTGTGATGTTTTTATCAGCTGTTTGGACTCTCATTCTGACGGTACCCATTCACTGCAGAGGATCCACTGGTGAGCAAGTGATGGAATGCTAAATTTCTATAATGCTGAAAAATCAGTTTTGATCAAGAAACAAACTCATCTACATCTTGGATAGCCTGAGGGTGAGTAAATGTTTCATTTCTGGATGAACTTTAAAGGGGTCCTATTATGCTTTTTCACTTTTTTAATTTTAGTCAGTGTGTAGTGTGTATGTTTGGGCATAAAAAAGATCTAGAAAGTTACAAATCTCAAAGTCCACTCCAAAGGGAGATATTTTGTTTTTTTTTAAATCCCTTTTCAAGAACTACAACGAACGGCTCATTTGGACTACAGCGTTTGTTTTCCGGGCTTTGTGATATCACAAAGAGTTAGTGCAACCAAGAAGAAGAGCTGCTGTGCTGTAGCGTCAAATTTTGGCATGTCTAGAACAATTCTAACAATTCTTACACGACGTAGCTGGGTGCCGCGGACAGACGCCGAACGGCGCCGCCGGTGTGCCTACACTCATAGAAAATAATGTATTCAAATTTTAAAGATGTGGCGCGACATGACACTGTGCTTCTCGTCCAGTGTGCGACCGCCTGAAACGCTGTTTTTTTCACCTACGTGCCCAAACGTCTTTGTTTGGGCTTCCGAAAGCGGATGATGTCAGGAAACAGTGGTTGCAATTTATTTTTTAACTCTGTTCCTGAGCATTATAACCCCAATTTGCTATTGTGTGCTGCGCATTTTACTGAGGACAGCTTCCACAACATGAGGGAGTACAGTGCCTGCCGGATTCGCCAAAAAGCTTTTGTTGAAAGACGGAGCAAGGGGCGTGGCAGTACTGAAACACCGTCTAAGCTGTTCGCCAATCACAA